CTCCGGAGGAACTTGACGAGTTGCTAGGATGCACTCGACGAGTTGAGGTCAACATGGACTGTTGACCTTGACTATTGACCTTGAATTTGACCAGGATTGACTTTGAAGGTAATTATGGGATTATGACAAAGTTAATCACATGTTGGTTATAGGCAGTTGAGGAGGAGCAGTGTGGGGGATACATCTGATCTTAGCTTGTCAATTCAGCCTTCGAGAGGTGAGTATCCTCACCATACCAATTGGTCTAAGGCACCAAGGCCGGTCCATTTTATGATATATGGTATCCTAGCTGAAGTTGTATTATAGGGCATGTTAGTTGGTATGAGCTAGGGAGTATGCTAGTGGTATATGTGGTATGTTTGTATGGAAGACCGTGGGAGAGCCCATGACACTTGGATGTAAGAGCATGTAGAGAGTGTTGGGTTTTGAGCACTATAAAACACCTATGGTGCACATGCAACCCTAAATGCTTTGGATCTATGTGTTCTCTATTATACATGCATATTTTCAATTTTTCCAAAGCATTGTGCTAACTAGCATACAAATTGCCAATTGAATAAAACATCTAGATAGATGACATACCTTTTGAAGGACTTGTAGTTCTTGACCCTTGAAAGCTTGAGCACCTCAAGTGTGATGCCTCTAATGGTTCACAAACACCAATATGCAAGATGATGATTTAAAAGAATAATAAGCTATTTGTCTCAATGAGAAGGTGCAACCGATTTTGGTCTATGGAGGGTTCTATTTATAGTGTTGGACATGTTAGGGTTACACTTGGTAAACCCTAATAACCCATGACTTTCCACATTCTCATGCTCTATGGGTTTAACCTCCATGGACTATCCATGGATTAGTTTAGCCCATAATCATGGATCATTAGTCCACACTACAAGAATGATTGACTTATTAGGGAATAGCCATCCTGATGTTTCGAATCCAGTCATTGAAATTCGAGCCATCGAAAATGACCCTCCCACACAGATTCATTAGGGAGAAAAAGCATGAAGGAATTGGGTTGGAAGCATTGTTTGGGATAAACATCTGTAAAAGAAGAAGAAACAAAGTTTAGATTAGATGATAATCCTTAATATTACACCCAATATGAAATATTAAGGCTAGGACCCAACATAATATTCTATAATTGCGAAGAGGGATGCCGTAATCCAATTGTAAAATATTTGAAGGTAGGTAAATGACGATTTATCAATTTTCACCATGAAAAACGAAATAGATTATTAAGTTTTAATTGGATTTGAAATTCCTAGATCTTTGAGATTCATTGAACCTTTTCAATGGCATGTTTAAATCTCGATTGTGCCCTTCAAGTTTGTGACTGGGATGCCGAGGATCACAAACAATGAGTGAATAACCATGCAAATTAGCTTGGTACACCTATTATTACAAATCACCTAATCAATGTGTCGGTTAACCACACACGCTCCATTGATCTATGATTAACACCATGTTACCCTTTGCCACACATTGTCAGTCCCAGATTAGTGTGTTGGTTAACCACACACACTCCACTAACGACTTAACAAGGTGCAAAGTGTAATTTCATGGATTAGCACCATTTCACATTTTCCTAAAGTGACTAAGATTGGGAATTTTAATAAAAGTTTAATTACTTTATATTTTTATCATTATACTTTTAATGAGGGAGAATTAATGTCCTATCCTACCCGTTCGGCTAACGACCCTCCACCAGTCAAGGAAGCGGTGGGTGAGAGTGGACACCCATTAAACTACCATTTTATAGGCAGTAACCTTATACTCCCCTTATAGACCGGCTTCGTGAATGAGGCCTACTAACGGTAAGACCGACTTTATATCTTATACATACACACACACACACACACATATATATATATATATATATATATATATATATATATATATATATATATATATATTTATATATATATATATTATTAAACTTATAATATTATAAAATATAAGGGTTGAATTTTAACTTTTAAAACTCTAAGGTTTGGAATTAAAGTTTCGTTTAATGAGACTTTGCAAATTCCAAAACTTGAGGGCAAGTTTTGAAACTTGTTAAAACTCTTCACATTCATAACCTATGAGTTTAATTTAACTTTAATGAAGAGACCTTTCATTTTCCATAACTTGAGGACAAGTTATGGAGGTCATTAAACATCATTTAGATCATTTTTCTAACAACTAAATTATCACATAATTCTTGATCTAACGAAACTCATATGCAAGACAATTTCAAATCAACAATTTAAAAGCAATTTTGTTTATCATATAAAAACAACAATTATTTTAAAACTTTGACAATTATCTTGTGGTTGGATGAGTACAAGCACTACCATATCATAAAAAAAACATTTCCAATGATCCAAAACAGTTTGTGGTAGTGTTCCAAATCCAAACCAGGCCAAGAAACTCGAATTTCTGCACACAGAGCCTTCAACTCGTCGAGTACATGAACTGGACTCGGCGAGTTGCTCTGTTACTGAGTGGACTCATCGATTCTGCTCATGTACTCGGCGAGTTCACCAGTCAGAGGCAAAAAATTTGACTTTTTCAGCTTTGAAAAACTAGTAAGCATCAAATATAATGGAAAACAATCCTAGGCTCTGATACCACTGTTGGGTTTTGAGCACTATAACACTCCTATAACACTCCTATGGTGCACATGCAACCCTAAATGCTTTGGATCTATGTTTTCTCTATTATACATGCATATTTTCAATTTTTCCAAAGCATTGTCCTAACTAGCATACAAATTGCCAATTGAATAAAACATCTAGATAGATGACATACCTTTTGAAGGACTTGTAGTTCTTGACCCTTGAAAGCTTGAGCACCTCAAGTGTGATGCCTCTAATGGTTCACAAACACCAATATGCAAGAGGATGATTTAAGATAATAAGTTATTTGTCTCAATGAGAAGGTGCAACCGATTTTGGTCTATGGAGGGTTCTATTTATAGTGTTAGACATGCTAGCGTTACACATGGTAAACCCTAATAACCCATGACTTTCCACATTCTCATGCTCCATGGGTTTAACCTTCATGGACTATCCATGGATTAGTTTAGCCCATAATCATGGATCATTAGTCCACACTATAAGAATAATTGATTTACATAATCAATCTCCATATATTTAATTAGTCTCTTTTGATCACAAAATTAATAAATTAATTCTTGATCAATACTAAATAAATAATTCCGTATTAATATATTATACTTGTAATATATTAATAAACCATAAATAACCTTATTCTCAAAATTCATCCTATCAAATTGCACTGGTGAAGGCAACCCAAAAGGATCATGCTACAATCGGGTTAAGTACATACCAGTTATAATTATGAGCTTAGACACCAAATCCAACAGAGAGCCCATGAATTTCCTATTGAAGACCATGGGAGAGCCCATGACACTTAGGTGTAAGACCATGTGGGGAGCCGATGGCATCCTGGAGTAAGACCCTGGGGACGAGCCCATGGCATCCCTATTTGTTGTATGCATGACTTATGTGATATATATGTAACTTCTATAGTTAATATGATATGTGATATTTGGATTGTGTGTGAGGTATGCTCTGGGGAACTCACTAAGCGTCAGCTTACAGTTTGTGGATTTGTTTCAGGTACATCTGAGCCCAAGGGCAAGGGCAAAGCTTGATGGCGCGGCGTGCACTTTCTCTCAGTCGTTATCATGGGACACTCTGATGTTTTAAAATAAAAATTGTTGTTGTTATGAAATTGAAAACAATTATATTTGTGATTACATGATTGGTGGAACGTGTTTTGGTTAATTAAAAATGAAAAAAAAAATTCTTTTGAAAATTGGGTCGTTACAGAATGGTTGTTTCCAAATAGAATGATTTTTTTAGTTGTATTATTTTGAATAAAGTGTTAGTTTATGTATTTTGTAATAGAATATGAAAAATTATAATTGTTTTGCAAAAAAAAATTTGTCATTTAAGTTTTAGGGCTTATTTTTTGTTAATTTGCACAGGGCCTTCGAAATATCCCGACCCGCCCTGCAAGTATATTACAAGTATATATGTTTATTTATCACATTATGTTAATTAGACAAAATTCTAGAGGAAATCAATAGTGATTTATATATGGAGTGTTTGTTTATATGCAATTTTATATTAAGATAATAAACTATATTATATAGAAAAAACATGTATCTTGGTTTCTAATTTAATCTCAGTGATAAAAGTATCTAATGACAGAGGGGATGGATAAAAAGGTTACGAATCATCAATTAAAATTTCTTCGAATGCAACATTTAAAAAGAAAAATGTTTTAGTTACCTTTAGATGCTACCATGCATCATCATCAACCAAAAACGTATGTTCTATGACATGATTAGATTTATAGAATATGAACTTTCAACAACTATTCGTATATTTTACCATCCGAATTAGATGGTAACCGTTTTGAGACCAAAAGGTGAAAAAAGATGATGAACCAGAACCATCAATCCATACGGCATCCGAATAATTTTTATATGATAATTTTTTTTAGATCTCAACTATTTCTAGAACTCCATTTACTAAAAAAAATTAATTTTTTAGATCTTGATTTTAAGCAATGCGTTAATGTACAACTAAACAAGCACAAACACAATAGACTTTTAGCAATTTTACGTTTGAATTTTTGGATCTGAATTTTGGATGATTTTGTTGTATTTATGATTAGAATGTAATCTATAGTTGTTATTTATCAAAGAATTAGCATTATTCAACATTTAATATTATGATACAAAATAATCAGCGAACATACAAAAATCAAATTATGCATATGGAGTCTATCATGTACTATATATCAATTAATTAATTTACTAAAACCTTTGAAATAAAGAAACCATATATAAAAGTAGTTGAAGAAAAACGAGAGGGAAACTTAACTTAAAGGCAACGGAGACCCTGCAACAAACCTATAGGTACATGAGGGACACCTCGAATCTAAAACGAAAACAACACCCCTCGTTCTTTCCATTAAAAGGAACCCTTCACCTCTCTCCATCTCCACCTCCACCTCCACCACCACCACCCTGTGTTCTCCGCCATGCAAGCCAGCGCCGGCCTAGTTGCCGGATCTCACAACCGGAACGAGCTCGTAGTCATCCATGGCCACGAAGAACACAAGCCTTTGAAGGATTTGACCGGTCAAGTCTGTGAGATATGTGGTGACGAGATCGGCGTCACAGTCGCCGGAGATTTGTTTGTAGCATGTAACGAGTGTGGTTTTCCGGTGTGCCGACCATGCTATGAGTATGAGAGAAGAGAAGGTAGCCAGAACTGCCCTCAATGCAAAACCCGATACAAACGTCTCAAAGGTTTGACTTTGACCTCAAAAAACTCAAAATCTTATCTAGGTTTGTTTGTCTGACGAATGGATTAAGTATTAAATATTAATTATACATATAGGAAGTCCTAGGGTTGAAGGAGACGACGATGAGGAAGATGTGGATGACATTGAACACGAATTTAATATTGATGATGATCAAAACAAGAACAACAATATTGCAGAAGCAATGCTTCAAGGAAAGATGAGTTATGGTCGAGGACATGAAGATGATGACAATGCTCAATATCCACCTGTCATTGCTAGCCGTTCGAAACCCGTAAGCAATAACTTTTTTTTATTATAAAGATCGAGACAGATAAGATTGTGTCTAGCTGATCATATCATGTTAGTTAGAAATGTAGAGTCCTCGAATCTCTCTCTAATATATACACTGTGTTTAGCTGATGTGGAACACTAACAGACACCAGGAACTAACTAGATTAAGTGTCATGGATGTAGGTAAGTGGTGAGTTCCCAATATCGAGCCAACCTCATGGAGAGCAAACGTTATCCTCGCTTCATAAACGTGTGCATCCTTATTCGGCTCATGAGCTTGGTACATTTTTTTACTTTTTTTATGTCATTTGCAATAATTAATAGTTATGAAATAATAATCGGATGAATTCCTTTCACAGGAAGCAGAAGATGGGATGAAAAGAAAGATGGAGGGTGGAAAGAAAGAATGGATGACTGGAAAATGCAGCAAGGAAATCTTGGTACTGAAGTTGATGATTCAGCTGATCCTGATATGGCCATGTATGTTTAATTTTGTCCTCAATGTAATAAAGTTTAAAGTTTCAAACTTTTATCGACTCATATAAAATTCGATCTTTTCATATGATACAGGTTAGATGAAGCAAGACAACCACTTTCAAGGAAAGTACCGATTGCATCCAGCAAGATCAATCCTTACAGAATGGTGATTGTGGCTCGTCTTTTTATCTTAGCCATCTTTCTTCGTTACAGACTCATGAACCCTGTGCATGATGCATTCGGGTTATGGTTGACATCTGTTATCTGTGAGATCTGGTTCGCTTTCTCATGGATCCTCGATCAGTTCCCGAAATGGTTCCCAATCGATCGTGAAACTTATCTCGATCGCCTTTCTCTCAGGTAGTGATCATAATCACAGACTAATAATTGGCTCTGATACCATGTTAAAATTTGTGAGCTCATTGGTTTTGTGATGCACAGGTATGAGAGGGAAGGTGAGCCAAATATGTTGTGTCCGGTGGATATATTTGTGAGTACCGTGGATCCATTGAAGGAACCTCCACTTGTTACGGCTAACACCGTTTTATCAATTCTAGCTATGGATTACCCGGTTGATAAAATCTCATGTTACATATCTGATGATGGTGCTTCAATGCTTACCTTTGAATCACTATCGGAAACCGCAGAATTCGCACGAAAATGGGTTCCGTTTTGTAAGAAATTTACAATTGAGCCGCGAGCTCCTGAAATGTACTTCTCGGATAAAATCGATTACCTTAAGGATAAAGTTCAACCCACGTTTGTCAAGGAAAGGCGCGCCATGAAGGTATTTTTTATTTAATATTATTTTTATGATGTTTTAGTATAACGATACCATGTTAAATTTTGTTTTTGTTGCCAGAGAGAATACGAAGAATTTAAGGTACGGGTCAATGCGCTTGTAGCGAAAGCTATTAAAGTACCCGCCGAAGGTTGGATCATGCAAGATGGGACACCGTGGCCGGGGAATAACACGAAAGATCACCCGGGAATGATTCAAGTGTTTCTTGGTCAAAGTGGAGGGACTGATGTCGAAGGAAACGAACTTCCTCGTCTTGTTTATGTTTCTCGTGAAAAGAGACCTGGTTTTCAACATCACAAGAAAGCCGGGGCCATGAATGCTCTGGTAATGATCACATCAGCTACACACAGTCTCATCGGACTATACATCTTGTAGTCTACCCTCTCTTTTAAGGGTTCTTTTGAAGAGAAATATAATTGTAACGAATATGTGATTGTTGTGAATGTTTCTTGGATATACAGGTGAGAGTCTCGGCGGTTTTGACGAATGCTCCTTTTATGCTGAACTTGGATTGTGATCATTACTTAAACAATAGCAAGGCTGCACGAGAGGCGATGTGTTTCTTGATGGATCCACAAATAGGAAGAAAGGTTTGCTACGTTCAGTTTCCACAACGGTTTGATGGCATAGACAGGCACGATCGATATGCCAACAGGAACACCGTCTTCTTCGATGTAAACATACAAAAATTATTAGTTTTTCTTTAATGAAGATGAAATTTGGTTTTTTATCAATGTGCTTTTTGTCTTTTTCAGATTAACATGAAGGGTTTAGATGGAATTCAAGGTCCGGTATATGTAGGAACAGGATGTGTGTTCAGAAGACAAGCATTGTACGGGTATGACCCACCAAAGGGTCCCAAGAGGCCGAAAATGGTGAGTTGTGATTGCTGCCCTTGTTTTGGACCGTAAGAAGCTTCCCAAGTATGAAAAACATGGACCGGGGGGCGATTTGGAAAACATCCAAGGATACGATGATGATAAAGAACTTTTGAAGTCTCAAATGAACTTTGAAAACAAGTTTGGACAATCGGCTATCTTTGTTACCTCGACTTTAATGGTGGATGGTGGAGTTCCACCATCTTCAAGCCCCGCATCGCTTCTCAAAGAAGCCATTCATGTCATCAGTTGTGGGTATGAAGACAAAACCGAATGGGGTTTGGAGGTAAAAACACATTTTTGTATGCTAGATGATTTGAATCTCATATCAGACACAAACAGAGTCTTATTTGTGACAAATTCTCTTTTATCATGTAGTTGGGCTGGATTTATGGGTCGATCACGGAAGACATTCTAACAGGATTCAAGATGCATTGTCGTGGATGGAGGTCGATATACTGTATGCCAAAACGACCCGCTTTCAAAGGATCGGCTCCGATCAATCTCTCGGATCGTCTAAATCAAGTCCTCCGGTGGGCCCTGGGCTCAGTCGAGATCTTTTTCAGTCGGCACAGCCCAGTTTGGTACGGCTACAAAGGCGGTAACCTAAAATGGCTCGAGCGGTTATCCTATGTCAACACCACCGTCTACCCCTTCACCTCCCTCCCCCTCCTCGCATACTGCACCCTCCCTGCCGTCTGCCTCCTCACCGGAAAGTTCATCATGCCGGAGATTAGCACCTTAGCAAGTCTCTTCTTCATTTCTCTTTTTCTCTCCATTTTCACCACCGGAATCCTCGAGCTCCGGTGGAGCGGTGTCAGCATTGAGGAGTGGTGGAGGAACGAGCAATTTTGGGTGATTGGTGGCGTATCGGCTCATTTGTTTGCAGTTGTACAAGGTTTGTTAAAGATTTTGGCGGGAATAGATACGAATTTCACAGTGACATCGAAAGCTTCGGATGATGAGGATTTCGGGGAGTTGTACGCGTTTAAATGGACAACTTTACTCATTCCTCCGACTACTATTTTGATCATTAACATGGTTGGGGTTGTGGCGGGGATTTCTGATGCGATTAACAACGGGTACCAATCGTGGGGCCCACTATTTGGGAAGTTGTTCTTTGCTTTTTGGGTGATTGTTCATCTTTATCCGTTTCTTAAAGGTCTCATGGGAAAGCAGAATAGGACTCCGACTATTGTGGTTATATGGTCTATACTTCTTGCTTCGATCTTCTCGTTGCTTTGGGTCAGGATTGACCCGTTTGTGTTGAAGACTAAAGGACCCGATGTCAAGCAATGTGGACTCAATTGCTGAACATGAAATACCTCCTTCAAGTGAAAAGTTTTGTTCATTGTACTCGATGAAAAATGTTTGTTTCTGTTAAGATTGTAATCTAATGCCGATCAAAGAAAGTTTGTTTCTATTGAGAGTGTTTTCTGATGGTATATTTTGAATTTCTGTGTTGTGACGTTTAAGCATACAACAAAGTTTAACTTCTAGAGTAAATTACACATTTCATCCAAATGTTTGGTTTGTGGCACTAATGGTCCTAAAAGCATGGTGTCCTTGCATGTTTGGTCCCTCCACAATAGCTTAATTTGTTTTTTTTATAAGTTTTGATATTCCTTTGTTTCTACTTTAATCTTAGACCAAGTTAACTTCTAGAGTAAATTACACCTTTCATCCAAATGTTTGGTTTGTGGCACTATGGTCCTTAAAGCATGTTATCATTGCATGTTTGGTCCCACGACAGTAACTTAACTTTTTGTTTTTTTTTTTTTTAATCTTAGATTTGAACTTTTATGGGTTAGTTAAAATGTGTTTTTTGTTAGGATTTTTTTTTTTTTGAAGATGAGGTGAAGAAAATAAAGAAGACAAGGACAAATTGATCATTTAGCATAGACTTAAGAGATACCACATCGATAAAAGCTATAATTTACTCTAACTTGTAATTTCTCTAATTTACTCTAACTTGTAAGTTCTCTTTATTTTTTGCATTTCTTTTCGAGTAAAGATGCTAAAAATTACAATAAGAATGAATAAAGCTAGAACCACTGCATTGCCATTGATATGGATACATTAACCGGTTACATTTTTTTGCTATAATTGCCCCCAACACCTCTCCTAAAGTGATGGGAGAAAAAGAAGCACTCACACACACACAAAAGAAAACTGTACACACACTATATCAACACACCATATGTTGTCGTTGACGTATTTTCTTTTTTTCTTAAGAATATAAAGTGAAGTTAGTGTAGAATGTGGATGGAGTCATTTATGGGCGAAATCATAGACTCTTGAAATCTTGTTTCAACTGTATGAGATGTGTCCTAAGGGTGTATTCCTCTACCTGTATATATCCAAAAAAAATCAACATCAAGATAATCCAAACGTTTCTACAAAAGACTTATTCTTACATACTGTATCTGCTAAGACTTGAACACTTGACCTATTCTACAGATACCCATGAGGCCCATACTTTGGCCCCCATGTTTGTGGGACTAAAGACATTATGTTTGCAGCATTTATAACATCCATGTTCATTAATAAGCTTCTTAATGGGCAAGTGGTCCACAATCTCTAAAAGCTTGAAAACGATTTACCTAATTTGCTAACCTAACTAATTTCTCTACACACTACATAATTACGTTTCTAAGAATAGAAAGATCGCATTTTTTATACATCCAAAAATGGAGAATGTTGCCAAAAGTTTCAATACGCGTGAACCCTATTATTGTATCAATCAGAAGAAAGAAAAATTACCCAATTAAAAGAGACATATCATAATCATATGGCACATCACATCACACAGACACATACCATATGCTTTAATTGCATATGGCATGATGGAGGACCACTTGGCTACCTAAACTTCCTGCCCATAACTTAACATAGAATGTTACTATTATGCTTTACTAAAAAGTTGTGGGACTAATATGTAATATGTTATTATGTTGTTCCTTTATAGTTTTAATAAACTTTTTTTACCATTTAAAATGTAAATATTTATTTACCTGTAGAGAAGATGCACAAGTCAATAAAGCTTCACATTGATCAAGAAGAGCTCTTTCTTGTGATGCTACAGTTGCAAGTTCAGAAACCACCCAATTTGTCCCCTCCAACTGTAACAAAAGGAATTTATTTATTCACTTTTTATATAAACTTCAAATGTATAAGTAACAGTAAAAGATATAAACTTACTCTTGATAGTGTAGATTGTAAGGAGGATCCAATCGACTGCATTACTTGAATAGCTGAATAAACCGCCGACTTCACACTTTGTATATTTGCCTGTAAATTGTAAAAACAAATGTTATTATTAATTTAATATATAGGTTATTCGATTTTGTCTATGTGGACGCCACGTAGGCATCAAAAACATACCGTTGCCCATCCAGTAACAGGAAGGCGTAAAGTACTTGCTTTTAGATCTTCAATAGCACCATGTAATGCAAAATTATGGTCTCTTTCAATTGAAAACCATTGATTTAAGTAACCAGTTTGAGTCATTAAAATCAAGTAAAGCTTTAACTGCAGTTTCATCTGGTTGATGTTAACCCTCTTTGCAGTTACTGAATCTTGAAGTCGTGACGTTGTTCTCTGTGCATTAAGTAAAGATCTCTGCATTACAAAATACGATAATATCAATATCGGTTTTCAGAATATTATTTTAATTTTTAATTAATATATACAAAACAGACAAATGAAAGAACCAAACCTCTTACCTCAGCCGTTAGTTTCTGAGAATTTAAGGTGGCTTCTGCGCCGGCGTTAACGAAACGCCACTGGACTTGCCGGTTATAAAGTAGGCGTAGATTATGAGCGTCTTCTATGCGATTCGCAACTTTTTTCCCCTTTTTAATGTCGGCGATAAATGTGAGAACAGAAACTGTATTCGAATTGCGTAATTGGGTGGAAGGAGTAGGAGTAGATGACGTCACGCCGCGACTAGGACTGACGCCTCTAGCGGCGGGTGGTGGTGGAGAAATTAAAACCCTTGCTCGTGATGGACTGACACCTCGTGAAATGATACCAGATGACTTATTTGGTGACTGAGATCGAATTGCGTTTTTTTCGGAAAAAAGATTGGATATTCTTTGTGGATTATAAGAAAGCGACGATGGTTTTCTTGAATTTCCGTTTGTGGATTTTGGAGTTACAGGTTCATGATCGGGTGGGTCGATGTTTTTGGTTAAAACATTAGAAGACCCGGTTCTGTTAGGCCATCTATGGTGATCAAATCGATCGAAAGGTTTAGAATTTTCTAAGTGATCGATGGTGTTTTTGCCTTTGAGAGGACTTCTATTTCTCTCCGGCGTAGCTTTCCGGTATGTCGGTGGTGGTGGTGTTACAGTCGGTTTATGGCCGACATTTGACGAAGGCTTCAATGTCCGATCAAACATGGCTTGTGGGGGAGGCTTCTCTTTCTTACTAATCGGCATTGAAAAAGCTGTTGATTGAAAAGCAACATTTAGACTTCGCATTCTTGAAGGCCATAACGACTCCGGCAATTTACTACTACCACTCGCCTTTCTAGCGGCGAGTTCGGTGTAAATAGATGTATCGTGAACTGGGGTGGAGGGGGGCGACGGCGACGGTGGTGTTGCTGCCGCTGGCGGTTGTCTGCGTCCGGCGGATACAGCTCTCTTTGAAATCGGCGCTGACGTTGAAGTTGTGACTGTTGTTTTCGTGTTTGGAGATGGAAAACGCCGTGGTGTAGGTGATTTGTACCTTGAATTAACGTCCCGATGAATTCTTCCATTGTTGATCTTTCGGGTCTCTGATGCTTGATTTGATTCACATACGTCCATCCACTCTATTCGAATTCAACCACATTGATGTCTTCTATCACACGAACAACACATTTGCCAAAAATAATCCACGAATTTCTTGAAAACACGATGGAATTTGCTTTCTTCTTCTTCTTCTGTGCTATCCTTTCACTGTCATTATTAAACAGAAGATAATATGATGAAAAAAGAAAAAAAGTGATAAAAAGTACACATCTTTACAGGCACACAGATCTGAAAATGCGAAACCTTTTGTAAATTGGAGCCAAAATAAAGCAAATGGATATCTTTGAATCATAATAACAAACTAAATATGATCATAAAAAACTAAACATCATCAAGAAAATTGCACTTTAAGAATATTACACTTACACTTACAGTTACAGCTCATAAAAAAAGGGGAAAAGTGCGTTTGTTTGATTGGAGGAATGCAACCCATTTAACTCAAATACTGGAAACAGTAGGAAGAAAGTGAAGGCAATAGGTACAAGAGAAGAGATGGAGGGGTGCGTAGGATAAGATTATGAGAAGAATCCTGCTAAAAAACACAAAAACTGCCACCTGTTGTCTCTTTCACGGATTTGCCATGGTCGACAGGACTGAAAGGAAAAGGAGTTGCAGAGTAATGGCGGAAATTCACACAATATAATCTTGAAAACATTGATGAACAAAAATACAATCCCACCGGATTGTTTTATACTTTATATTTATTCTTTGTTTGTCTACATCTGAGTAAAGATTATTTAATACAATCAACATTTTGAATTTTTAACTTTAGAAGCCTACTTTTTACATTTACAGTCAAAGGTCAACTGTAAATATTAGATTATGGTCAATAATAAGCATGTAATTATGGGATTATGGAAGCATCCATGGAGGACCATGTGCCAAACAGC